TGTCGACTGACATCTGCTTGTGGATATCAAGCTTTTTAATTTAACTTTTGTTATCGGTTCTGATGTTGCGCACGGGACGCTGATAGGCAACTGCCGCCTTTTTTGCAAAAGACTTTCTGTGACAGGAACTGTTTCGCTACAAAATGGCGCGCTGGCAGTTCTACAACCTCTCGCTCGCAACGCTTTACCCGCTTTGACGCTGCAAAAAAGTTCGAAATCGCTTGAGTGCGGTTTTTTTATACCCATTCGTTTTCTAAAAACTCTATAATTGCCAAAAAGTATGGATTTGCCGAAGTGAATTACGTTTTATGCTAACACTTGCGTCACAAACAGTTTTCGCATTTACGATTCTTTGCTAGACGGAGCTTAACTAGTCACCGTTAGATCGGGACCGGCCTTCGAGGTTTTAAAACGAAGCCATGAAACTATATATAGTATCATAACACAACAATAACATACGCTCGTACACACACATAGGGCCCCTATCACATGATAAGCAAAGAATAATCTCAAAAGAAGAGCTCTCTTTTGACAAATATATATCTTGCGATACAGAGACATCCTGCCCGCATATTTTATATACACCACCCATATGCAGAATTTGCGGAAACGCCGCGTATGGGCATGCAGCTATCACTTAAATAATGCAAGCACGACAATTTATTCTAATTTATTCTCGTCTCCGTTCGGTGTGGTGACAATCAGGTAATCTAATTGCAGTAATTATACACGCGGTTCCGCCTGGCATCGGTTTCGCCGACGGCAAGGGGATTAATGAATGATCAATCATCGATTAATACGCTCGTTGCAATCGAGTTAATTTTGCCGCGACTTGCTATGGGGGATGACGGAAAAGGGCTTACTCGTTATGTTCCTGCGCCGGAGCCATCTTAAATGAGGACGACGGCGCGGATCTTTAAAGCGTTAAATATTCCGGTTCGGTCACTGGCCTGCACTTCTGATGATCCGAGTAAGGCCCGGTTAGCGTTCGCGAGAGAGAACAACGCGGACAGCTTAAGTGAATGGGCCACGCGCTTATACACGCCGATACAGGCAAGTTGCCATTAATCATGGGGACATCTCACCACATGCGCAGGCGTTGACCCCCAGCGGAAGCGATGTGTTGATTTGATAAATTACTTACTACGAAATGCTCGCGCGTCGTTCGCCTGAACTGTTGCTTGGCGAGTTGAAGATGGCGGATGGCCACAAGAGCATGACGAGGAAGAGGCCTGTTTTCAGGCCGACCGAGGCAACAGGTACGACAATGTCCAGCAACTCCTCTTGCCTACCTGCATAGAAGCACACGCACATTCGTTACACACTTACTACTTTGCTGCTAGATTTTTGTGGAATCCTACCTGCGTTTTCTGCTTTTCCTAAACGTTCTGACCACCTCGGCATATTGAAGATTCTGTGCAGAGACCGCTGGCGTATACACCGGCCTAAAATACACAGGTGGGTGTGTTGTCGCAAGGGATGTGTTTTACAACTCATTTGGAATGTGACGTGTGCTTATTAGATAGTCATCTAAATCATAAAGGTTCACCAGTTGCATATGTTGAGAACCGAGTTTTACACACTAAGAACATTCGAGTTCTCGGCCAGAGCTTACACAGTTCACCACTAGTAAAAGGGAGGTCACATATACGACGAGACCGCCGTCCGTACGCTCTCTCCTTTCTCTCTCTCTCCTCCTCTCTGTCTCTTTCTCCTTCTCTCCTCTCTCTCTCCTCTCTCTCTTCTCTCTCTCTCCTCTTCTCTCTCTCTTCCTCTCCTCTCGTCTCCCCTCTTTCTCTCTCTCCCTCTCTCTCTTCCCTCTCCCTCCTCTCTGCTCTCTGCTCTTCTCTCTTCTCGCTCTCTCTCTATCTCCCGTCTACTCTCCCTCTCTTCTCTCTCTCTCTATCTCCCTCTCTCTCCCTCTCGTCTCTCCCTCTCTGGCAACGCTTAATCTCCTCTTTTTTTCTCTCTCTCTCGCTCTCTCGCCATTTCTCTCTCTCTCTTCCCTCTTCTCTCTCTTTCTCTCCCATCTCACTCTTGATCGCACAGTTTTATCTCTCTCTCTCTCTCTCTCTCTCTCTCTCTCTCCTCGCTCTCTCTCCCTCTCTCTTCTGCACTCTGCTATCGTTTATATGATAGTTCGTGGTCCCCGCTTCAACAGGCAACGGACAAACGAGGACATCTCGCTAATAACGATATAAACGACATGTCTTTTATAAACAATCCTTACACAAGTTGCCATATTTTAACCGCTTAATCCGGACATTTCCGTGGTTCCCGACCCGTCCCGATAAAGCGATATCCGCTGTATTATATTTTATTTGTAGGCGTGTTATTCGCGACTACCGTAAGTAGCAAGTCTGCCCTAAAGACTAGAGAGAGCCAGATAAGACAAGACAAGAAGAGTAACGTTCACTAGCGTTCATACATCATATACAAACATGAAGTCTTAGTGTACTACCGAATAGAAAGAGCGTTCGAGCTACATAGACATTTGTATCACGCAACTTACTCCTTCTCAGCGGGTGTCTTGCTACAAGAGCCCCGAGAAGCGGCTTGCTCTTTCTATTTATACGGCGTTGCCCTCTCCTTACGTTCACTTTCTCGTTATACTCCCTTTTTCGTGGCCAACCGCCATACTAAATACGGTGGGTCGTGAGATTACAACTGCTTTACATGACCCTACCGAATTGGCTGGGGTATAGCGTTTCCACATTTGGCTCGACTCCATGGTCGTTCTGGCCGCTGATGTTCATAATCATCTTCGTGTCTAGGCTGTCGACAATCGCCAAGAACTCGGCAAGAACTCGGGAACCTTAGCGTGGGTTGGAGCTATGGCTTCCCCCTCCGCGTTCCGTTCCGCGCTTGCTTGATCTAGGTCCGACTCACAGCCTTGTTCGTGACATCTATTCGACACTGAGCGCCAAAGATTGACGTTTCCAGCCAATCGCCATCACTTCCCTGGCGTATGGCATTTGCAGCTTACAATATCATAACTTGTTATCGTTTCAGGCGATATGTTATCGATGTCGCGATCTTTGTCATTGTGTCGTTATTGTCGTAGTTGTCATTGTTGTCGTGGTTATCGTCGTCGCCAGGGTCGTCGTCGTCATCGTTTTTGTAGTAGTAGTAGTAGTAGTAGTAGTAGTAGTAGTAGTAGTAGTAGTATAGTAGCTAGTTAGTAGTAGTTAGTAGTCAAGTAGTTAGTAGTAGTAGTAGCGTGTGTAGTAGTATATAGTAAGTAGTGTAGTAGTAGTAGTTAGTAGTAGTAGTAGTAGTAGTAGTAGTAGTATTTAGTAGTAGTAGTAGTAGTAGTTAGTACAGTAGTTATTGTTGTTGTTGTTGTTGTTATCGTTGTTGTCGCCGTCGTTGTCGCAATACTGCACGACAGGCCCTTCCATGTCATATTTTCTTGAGAATTTGTTCGATGTCTACATTATCATCGTCATTATCTTTGTCATATTCATATCGTCATCATCGTATTATTCATCAGCATCCTTATAATCATAAACTTTTCCATCATCGCAATCACCATCATTGTCAACCTCATAATCTTCGTCAGTAGTGGCAACAGCAGCAACAGCCGCGTCATCATCAGCATTGGCATCATCATCATCATTATCCTCATTGCTAGCGTCAGCGCACCCCATTAATACCATACCATTATCACCATCATCATCAGAATCTCAACGGTTATCAGTCGCTCTCCGTTTTTCCTCGTCTTATCAGTTTACGTCGTTATTCGCAAGTACGAGTACGCACACGAGCGAGACAGAGGGGGAGTGAGGAGAGAAGGAGGGGTGGGAGGAGGGGAAGAGGAAGGGAGGGGCGTGAGAGAAGAAAAGAAGGACAAAGAATGAATTAAGAAATCGAAAAGGACGGATTTAGTGATCGCACGGGATTGATAGACGACGATGAAAGCTGTGATGCGAGCAAGGTCCGAACAGAGGGGAGAGGGGAAGAAGGAGAGGAGAGAAAGAGAGAGAGGGAAGAAGAGAGGCGGAAAGAAAGGAGGAAAAAAGAAGACGATGAAGAGAAGAGAGGAGAGAGAGAGAGAGAGGAGAAAGGATCGAGTAGAGAGGAAATAAAGCGAAGAGCAGAGAAAGCGAAGAGAGAGAGAGAGAGAGAGAGAGAGAGATAGAGAGAGGGAGAGAGCGAGTGTGTGAGAGAGAGATAGAGCAAGGGAGAGAGAGAGATATAGTTGAGCGTCATTGCGCGCGTTTATCCGCCTAGAAGCGCAAACGACATAGAGGAGATCATTAAGCAAGCAACGAGCGTTTATAGTATCATCACCTGAGCCTCGGCTAGCCGCGTCGGGATCTCCGATTTATAGCTCGTTTACCGTCTCGGAAGAACCCGCGGCAGCCTGGGCGGAGGCGCTTTCATAGCGCGAAGATATTGCCGGTTGCCGACAGACACGCGCCACAATGCGGAACTGTTGCCAACCGCGCTTCTTTTCTAGTCCTTCGCCGCAGAATCAGCCCGTGTGCGTCAATTACCTACGCTACGTACGGCGTAATTTTTACTTCTCTTATTCCCGAGCGTTTGATTGCAGATTGATAGGGTACGTGCGGTGTTCCGCTGCGGCGGCCGCCCTTCGCACTTCGGCTGCGGTTTCCACTGTGCGATAATCGGCCAGTTAATTCCGCGTCCATTTTCAGGTTATTCGAGTTTATCGTTGTATGTGCTCGCTATTTTCTCTTCTCCTCCCCCTCCTCCTCCTGCGATTTAAATGTTATGGCGAGTGAAATTATGCGATCGCGCCCATTTAACTCGTGATCGTAATTGTCGATTACATCAGTTCGTGCTGAGACGGGTCTATGTACCCGGTGGTACTGCCGCGAACTTGGCCCTTTTACATTTTTGTGAGTATCTAATATGCCGGACCCCTACCATGCCTACTCCACTACGAGTCTAGGGAGTCGCCTACGCCTACTCCTAGCCTAACCCTAACCAGAACCGAGCCTAACACTAACCCTAACGCTATAATCCTAACCCTAACCATATCACATAGTGACCAGGTACGTTCCGGTTCCGTACCGTACCAGGACGCTTCCCATAGACCCTATGAGCCCTAGTAGTGTCGTTTATATTTCTCGCTGGACTTCGTCATTAGTGGCAAAACCTGTGTCGGCTATATTTTTTGTTCTTTCCTGCTTACGCTAGCATGTAGAATCATCAATTATTAGGCGTGAAAGAGATCACACTGTAGTGCCAAAACCTTGTATTGTATTGGTCGTGTGCTTCTTAAAGACTGTGCATGTTGGTGTCCGTATCCAGTAGGAGGGTGCGATGCTTACTTCAGAGATACGGCTCGTTTAATTACAATGTTTAGTAATACCCCATTCTACTTTTTGTGTGTTTTATTTTCCCTTTAGAATACTAATTGTTAGAATAAAAATAAAATGGATAATATGAATACATATTTTACTATGATCTCCAAATAATGTATAAAAGTTATGGTTCTTGACAACATGCCCTCGACCAAAATGTTCATAACTAAAGGTTTCAAAAAAGGTTGGAACCACTGCCAAAGAATTTGATTGATAGAATCGGGCCGTTAAGAAAATGTGTGAAACGAGAAATTCATATATATACATATTTAATTTTATGTTGGTCTTATTTAAATTCTTAAATCCTCCGCAGATCTGAACAAGCGATCACAAATACGACCTCAGGCTCGCAATATGGAAAGTGAGAATTGGGTGAGAAGTCACATTCAGTGAGAACCGAGCCTCCTGCACCAATTATAATGCGAGATTGTTTTTAGAGATACATTCCAAATACGTATGTTTTGTACGTGACGGTTTAATCCATGGCAATATATATACTATATTATAGTATATAATATATATATATATAGGAGTAGACACACGCACGCACGCACGCACGCACGCACGCACACACACACATTAATTCGGATTTTGAGACGGCCATGTGGAAGATAGGTCCGCGCCAATTTATTGTGTCTGTACCTAACATGTTTTACCGTCGTTAAATAAAGTTTTTACTTACTTACTTACTTACTAATTCGCGCACCAGCTTCGGCTTACCCGAATTTGGCGAACTGCCACCAGAGTGTCATCATATAGGTACTGAGCTGTTGGTCGAGGTTGCGGAACGTTGCAGGTAAACCGTGGTCCGGTGTCAGCGGCAGTCCGAGCGTGTACCAGATGTCCGAGCCGTGGACAACACCTGCGCAATCATCATTTACCTGTATCTACAGCTATAGCTATGACAGTCAATGTATCATCGACAATCTACTGAGACTTGGCCAATGTTCGCTTAGTGTGTGGCTGTGTGTGTGTGTGTGTGTGTGTGTGCGTGTGTATGCGTGTGCGTGCGTGCGTGCGTGTGTGCGTGCGTGCGTGCATGCCGCTGCTACATGATAACGTTAAAACGCGGCTACACGCAAGCTCACATTACTAGCCATGAATACTCTGCCACCATTCATATAATGCCGCAGCCCTTTTATACAACGACAATGCATCAAACGTAGAATACAATGCGGGCTCATAGCAGCGCGGTTTAACGCGATCGTGGCCGTCGGCAGGCGGCCGACACACAGCATAAAAACCCGCAGGCACGTCGCAGATGCGTTCCTGAATGCAATTACTACAGGCCACATCTCCGCCATTATTACATGCTCATGTGTTTGAGCCTGTTCCTAAGTAGAGCCGACGTGCATTTACGGAAAACGAATACGAATTCTATTCCGTCTCCACTATATATCGTGCGTACATTTCCGAGCAGACGACCAGTGTGCACGTGCCGGTGTCGTTTGCGGGACGTTTCTCAACGTTGCTATGACAACGAACGAGTTCGGGGCCGGTGGCAATGGTCGCCTGCATAGCCTCCGTGAAAAGTCGTTTGTACTCCGTCCGTTGTGGAGAGCAGGCGTTAGCTTGTTTATGAAAACGTCATTCATTGGGAATCATTAGCCGTGGTCGTCATTTCGCGGCTGTCATCATGTTTTGTATATACGATGCAGTGTCGTCATTCGACACACGGCCTTTGAGCGCAGCTCCCATTACTCGACATGCGGGCGCGCCTCATCTGTCGAATAGAGAAAGATAGCTGGTGCATGCCTGCATTCGGGATACTACATTAAATGCTATCGGACTGCGAAAATCAAGGGGGGAATTTGTCGGGGAACAATTGTCGGACGTGGCTTAGTTCATTCTTTGCCCTCCCCCCCTGCCGCACACAGACCGATTCGATGTTGTATCATACCATACGGGACACACGAAAAATACACAAACCTCGCATGCAATGTGCACACCGTGCGACCCCGCGTATGTCGCGTGTATTGGGTACATCGAAAGCTACTGGACATAGCCGCCTATGACCGGGTTAGCAGCACCGTGCCTGTATAACTGTAACGACGATGAGGTAAACCAGTTACTAACCCGGTGCACTTTGCTCAGTGTGAAGCGATCGCGCGACGGATCTATAGCGCCTAAAACTACACTAAACGCCATCTAATCGCTTAGCGCGCGTGTTTGTAACTTTACCCGCTATAAAGTTGAGTCGCGACGCGTGCGAAAGGGCGTCACGTGGTCGCCGTTGGAAACGAGATGTTGGCATGCGATAGACCGGCAGCAGGAGAGAGAGAGAGAGAGAGAGAGAGAGGGAAGGTATGAGAGGGACGAGAGGAGAGGAGAGGGCAAGCAGCAGAGAGAGATGGAGCGACGAGAGAAAGAGAAAGAAAAGAGTCCTAGAGGTGAAAGAGAGGTGCGGTGAGTGAGAGTTTAGAGGGAGAGCAGAATAGTAGGGAGGGAAGAAAACAAATGAGAGAACACGAAATTTTCACCACGTTTCGCGCCGTCAATAATAAGCTATGAGGGCGAACAGTAAAGCGTACTTCCTTATTTAAAACGCAAGCTTGCGCGACGCTAGCTATACTGCCTTATTTAAAACAGCGTGCCGGGGTTGGGGCACATTTTAGCATTGCGCGTGACATGTACGGCGTGCATGCGTGCGTATCTGCGTTCGGCGTGTGTCCGGTCAGCGCGTGCGTGCGAGTATCGTTATCGTGTATACGAACTGTACGTGCTGCATGACGTGCGTGCGTGCTTGCGTAGACGGTCGCGTGCGGCGTGCCGTGCGGCGTGCGTCTGCGTGCGTGCGTGCCGTGCGGCGTACGTATACGTGTATACGAACGGTGTGCTGCATGCGTGCGAGCGTGCGTACGTGCGTGCATGATGCGTCGCGTGCGGGCAGTAGCGTGCGTGCGTGCGACGTTCGAAATTTCGATGTATCGCGTGGCCGTGTAGCGCACGTGTCGCGTGTGAACTTTGAAATTTATCTGAGGTATTTCGATGTAATTCTTGAGCGGCTGATTTTTATGCGCAAAAGCATAGACGCTGTTAGCCCACGTTTAACTTGATAATTCTAGAGTGAAATATATGGCCGGCTGGCTGTCTTCACTAGCATTGGTGTGTAAGGTCCGTGCGTTTGTGAAAACAGATGACGTCATGTTGTATAATGTACATATCAACACTAACGCGCACGGCACGCACACATCTCACCCACGGCCGTGTACGGCATTACCCACACATAAACACACACGTGCGCGCGCACGCTCACACGCACACACGCACAGCACGCACGCCACGCATGCACGCGCGCCGCACGGCACATCACACACACACACACACACACACACCACACAACCACGCACACATATATAATTTGTAGTTTTAAGGAGAGAGAGAGGGAGTTTATATCAGTTCACGTCCACTAGCACTGTAAGAATAGAGATGATTTTTAATCCGCGAGCCGATCAGAGAGATTCGCGCGCTTTCATACTTTTACTCGTCCGCCAGTCAGCCCTGCTGACGATTTTAAGTTATATTTATCGATTGTCTATTAGCTCACTGTTAGTGATCTACAGTTTATAGATTAATTCGATGGTCACTGTCGTAGAATGACAATGTCATAATCGCTATTATGTATAAGACTCAAGGTACAGAAACAACGCATCTTTTACAATTCGTCTTCTGCTAGTTAGATTAATGAATACTGTTAATGAAATCTGGCTTATTCCGGGAAAACATATGAGCTCGTGTGTCTACTTCGGAAATCTAGATATGACAACTAAACTCATTCTAATGCGAACGCATCGCGTGGGAGATCGAATGAGCACATAAATAAATTCATGCAAAGAAAACAGGTATAAAATACTATTATAAATAACGAGATATTTCACCCTGGAGGCATCTTATTTTGTGAAATCTGTAGATGATTATTAATCCGTCTATCCGCAAAATTATTAGTATATGTATATTATTATCACAATTTTTATTATTGATATTATTATTACTAATATTATAATCATCATTATAATTTGAGTCGGCGTGGGCGATCTTTCGTGGTTTTTGTTGGCGGGGGGCAGTACATCTACTTTACACCTGGAAGCAAATACTGGTTTAATCTTAATCTCAATGTCATCATGATCGGTGGGATATGATCAACGATATATTTCTCTCTTCGTTTTGTAGTGGTGGTTTTTTATTATGTTATTCTCTTGGCGGTCTCTCCGTCTCTCTCTTTCTCTCACTCACTCACTCACTCACTCACTCTCTGTCGATCTCTCACTCTCTCTCTCTCTCTCTCTCTCTCTCTCTCTCTCTCTCTCTCCCCCTCAATCTCCCACTCACTTCCTCTCCTCTTTCTATCTACCCTCTCTTCCCAGCCTTCACCGCGCTCTCTTCCTCTTCTCTCACATCGTGCCCCTTTCTTCTTCTATTTCTTTCGCCTCTCACACTCTTTTTCTGCCTTGTGCTCATCTCACTCTTGGCCTTGCGCACGTTCTCACTCTCCCCTCTCACGCCCGCTTCTTCCACCCTCACCCACTGTCCCCGTTCTACTCTTTCCCCTCTTCCTGCTCCGCCTCCATCTTTCCGTTCTCCCGATGCGGCAATCAGCGAGCGGTATTATTGTTCCCCACGTAAACGTTTGTACATAAATCGATCTCTGAATGATGTTTTTCCACTGATATTTCCGATCGTTGCCTTTTGCAACGACAAGTAGTTGAAATTATTCCCTCCGCAGCAGCCAAACACGGAGGCGGAACATATAGTACGACTCCCTCCCTATTTGTACGCAAAGCAGTGATTATTTTCATTAGCGAAGCGGCGCGGAAATCAATTCGGCTAATAATTCTTCAAATTTTCGAAAAAGATATCCTTGCTTCGCTGCGCTTTCATTACGTTGCTCTTCAACCTGTACCAAATATGGAGTAAACTGATGAGCAGCAAATGAGGCCATTCAGCCCCGCGCGCACTCTAAATTTCATCGCGCCGAGAAATTGCCCCGATGTTAGAATGCAAATATGCGCGTTTGTATATAATGAGATTCGTTGTAAATATATGATAGATGGACGTGCAGTCTTTTCTCTTGTATCTATCTCCTCGCATGTACGATGTACTGATAATTGTACACAGCTGTGTAAATGCTGCGTCGGAAAATTCGTGAAATCCATTTACGTGTAATTTATGAAGAGCGAATCGAGTTAGTGTTTCTGCGCGCTAAGAGGGAGGCAAACTTAATTGCAGAGAAGAAATTATTGTTGTTGAAGCATAACAGCGTAAATGGCTGACGATGAACTTCTGATAGTGACAACGAGGTCAGCGATCGGTGAGGTTAGCATCCAACGACGCGATCGCACTTGGTCGACCTTTGTTCTGGCTTAACTAGCTATATTGCGACTCCCCGGATGTGTCATGGCGGCTTCAATCACGGGGCTGTCAAAATTTAACGCGGGATCCCGCACGAACGACTCGCTAAATGCAGAGCCGAGTGCGGCTCTATAGAAGAGCAACTTGGACACGGTGTGATGACGTCACTATAAGATGCACATTCTACGTTTAATCGTTGAGGTGTGTCAAAACGCGTTACGATTTCACGCATTCGCGATAGCGACACCGATATGTTGGTTACTCGGCAAGCGAATTACTATAATTTACCGGCATTAACAAATGCGTACTCTCTATGTCCGCGACCCGGTATCTGCTCGTGTACCGCTCTGTATATTGGCATTCCGTACAATAAAAGACTTATTTAAATAAATAGGCGTGCGTTTAGAGCAGTTCACTTGATGCGCTCTGTATTCGGGCAACAGACGATGTTTCTCGATCCATATTTAATGAATTTTTGCATGAAATATTAACCGGTGGTGTTATAATTTACGTACGTGTCTCTAAAAACTTGTCAGTTATTTAATCGGATGTCTGGCCGAGTCGTCCGATAACGCTATTTCCATATATAGCCGGTGGATCAGTAGCTCGAGGGGAGGAAACCGGGTTGATATAATTAATATTTTTTAAACTAATTACATATTTAACGCGGCGGTTCGTGAGAAGGCGGGAGCCTTCGGGGGGATACAAGGGAAATTAGCCCAGCGGTAAGAAATTAAAATGTCTTGCGTTGACTACGGTGTGTACGCCCCGAGCTGCGGATAAATAAGAAGAAACTGCCGATCGAGCAATCACGTGCCCAGCCAGCCGAAATGAATGTTATAACGATCAGAACCGATCCAATAGAAGCGGAAATGAGTTTAAATGCGGACGTACCAGTAGTTGTGTGCCACACGACCACTTCGAGCATACGACGGGAGCATGCGTATTATTACGAGTTTTGAGCCATCTTGCGGCCTCCTTGCGC